TGTGCATATTTTGGGCAGTTCAATACATATACAGGCAACTGGGGGCAATTCGGCCATTTTTGCTGCTACCATATACAAACTAATTTCCAGTAATTGTGCATCTTCTAAGAACACTCTTAGAAAAAAGGGTACGTATAGTCCTCCCTTACGGGAGGAACGGTCTTGTAACCTATGTTCCTTTAGAAAGGGAGAAACCTTCGTCCCTGAAGCAGGGGAGCAAAGTTCCTCCAAATACCGTTGAGAATAATACAGGAAACTCCGGGCTAATGTTGTTGTTGAAAACTTTATTGAACCAAACAATAGACCGAAGTCTAGTTTACGGGTTCGAAGGGTTGGGGGTATGGGACTGTCTCATGCATAGGCGTTTCTTCCACTTGTCTTCGATCTTCTGCGCCCTGGAGATGACTTCCAGTTGCGTGCCGATGTCTTCGGCAACCAGTAAGGTTTCCCATACCGGTAGGCCATCTTCTACCCGGAGGGTGGCAGGTAGCGGGTTTGTAGGGCATTCCCAGTACACGTGCCGTCAGGTTCCTTCTTCCTGGTTGCCGCAGTCTTCACACTTGCCACTAAAGAGGTCTGGCCAGGACCTCCTTAGTATGTGGGGAGTGGTGTTGTTTCGAAGTTGGAGTCTTCTCCAGGCACTTTCTTGGAGTCGGCTGAGCTTCTTGTGTGGAGCTGCCAACGTCTGTCTTCGTAGCCGGAGTCTCTCGAGGATTTCACCATAACCTGCAGGCCCTATTGTGTTTGTCGAGGCGCTGTAGTTATGGTCCCCATGTGTCGTGGGGAGGCCCATTCTGCCAGTGGTACGGAGATGAAGACCGCGCACCACCAGCATGTGGGCTGTTTCGTTTCCTGTGTGCCCGGAGTGTCCGGGCACCCAGGTTAACGTATGGTTTGCTTCTTTGCTGATCTGGGTTCTGGCGTAGAGCTTGTATACTGCTAGTCCAACTCTTCCCAAACTTGTATTGGTGATGGCTTTCTTGGAGTCGCTTGTGACGATGGCGTACATTTCTCCTCTTCTTGCTGCTTGTACTCTCGCAAGGGCGATGGCTGCTTCCTCGGCTTCCTCTATCGACTTGGCGCTGATTGTGGCCATTGAATCTTGTCTCGCATTGTGTACTGCTATTACAAATTTTCCTGGCCTGCCTGGATAGGGTCCAGCGTCGGCGTGGAAGATGTGCACCTTTCCTTCGTGCAGCTTGGTCAGAGCTTTGGCTCTAGCTAGCCTTCGTCCTGAGTTGTGCGCCGAACTCATATTCTTCGGAAGGGGAATACTCCGTACTGTGTCAGTCCATTCTTGTCGTATAGAGTGTTTCTCCTGCATTTCCTGGTCCATTAGCAAAACACCTATGTCCTGTAGGACCCGCCTTCCAGTTCGGGTTTGTGATAATCGCTGGATTTGCACCTGTCTTTGTGCCTTTCTCATTTGATCGAAAGTGTTGTGTATCCCCATTTGATCGAGGCCGTCGTTGGATGTTTTCTGACTAATCCCCAACGCAGCCTTGAAAGATCTTCTTATAATGACATCTAGGGAGTCTTCCTCTGCCTTCTTTAAGTTCATGTAGGGTGCAGCGTACATTATTCTACTTAATGTGAAGGCGTGCACCAGCCTACACGTTCCACTTTCTTTGAGTCCGTAACTTCTTTTGGATGTGCGCCTTATGAGTCGCGCGACATTATCCGCCTGCTTCCTTAATTTAGTGAGCGCTTCTCTGTTTCGATCCTCGATAGATACTATCATCCCCAAAATCTTTACTTGATCCGCTCGTGGGATGTCCATCCTCTGTAGTTCGATGTAGAATTCTTCGTTCTCCCTTAACTTGCGATTCTTTGATGTGCGGACTAGTAGCGCTGATTTATCGGTGGCACATTCGAGTCCAGCCTCTTTCGCTTCTTGTCGTACAATCTTTATGCCAGCGTTTATAACGTTGTTTCTAGACGGTGACGGCAGAGCAGTCCAGAGTGTTATATCATCGGCGTACACTGCATGTTTGAGTCCTTCAACTTCTTGAAGCTTCCTTGACAAGGGGATCATTATCAAATTAAAGAGTAACGGCGATATTACCGATCCCTGGGGTGTTCCTCTTCCTTTGTTGACTTCTAGTTCGTCGGTTAGCTCTCCTTCTAGTTGTATTTTGGCCGTCCTGTTCTGTAAAAAATCCTTGATGTAGTTGAATGTTCTCTCGCCCAGGTTGTGTGCAGACACTTGTCGTAGGATTGCGACGTGAGAGACTCGATCAAAGGCCTTTCTAAGGTCGAGTGCAGCTAGTGCTGTCCATTTCTGCTTGTGTACACCTTCCTTGAGTTGGAGGAGCACATCTTGCGTGGATAGCTGTTTTCTAAATCCAAACATGTGCTCCGTGAATAGGTTGTGTTCTTCCATGTACTCTTGAATCCTTGTTTGTATGGTGCGTTCTAGTACCTTACCCACGCACGAGGTGAGTGAGATTGGTCTTAGATTGTCGATGGTCAGAGGCTTGCCGGGCTTGGGGATGAAACACACCGTCGCGTGTTTGAAGGCCTTTGGAATGACCCCTGATGTCCAGATTTCGTTAAAGTAATTAGTGAGGCACCGCACTGAATTGTCGTCCAGGTTCTTTAGCATTCTGTTGTTGACTTTGTCTTCTCCAGGGGCAGAGGAAACCTTGAGTTTAGCTAGTGCCCGTCTTATTTCATGTTCCTTGATTGGAGCGTCTAATAACGGGTTGCTGTTTCCTGAGTAGCTTACGTCATTTGCCCCTGCTTCCGGTGGAGCGTCTAGGTATCTGGCGTAAAGGTCGGCAATGAGGTCTTCCGTGTTTCCCACATAGTCTCTCATTAACTTGATGAGAAGTTTTTGCGTTTCCGGCTTGGTGTTTTCCGGGGCCAGTATCTTGCGAAACAGATGCCACGGGCTCTTCGTGTGGAGCATGTTCTGCGCTTCATCGCATACTTGCTGCCATTTCTGGTGGTTTAGCTGTTTGGCATAGTCTTCAATGTCTTTATATAACCTTGACGCTTTTTTCCTCAGCTTGCTGTAGCGTTTGCCAGTGCTCTTCCATCTGTTGTATAAAGAATAATACGCTTCTAACATATTTCCGAGTCTGGAGTCGATGGTTTCTGCTTGCGTGGGGTTTTCAACTTGCCTCGTTGCGTTCGCCGCGTCTTCTACAACCGTGGCGCTCCATTCCTCGATGCTTGTGAAGACTCTGTTTTCGCGCTCTCGTCGGAACTTGTCCCAGTCTACGCAGGGTTGTATTCTTGCCTTGCGTGGAGTGTAGCCCGGAAGCGTAGCCTGAACTTCAATGATATAGTGGTCGCTCCCTGAATTCTCTTGCGTGTTCTTCCAGACGACATCTTCCAGGTTGACCGAGAAGGCAAGATCCGGCGTAGTATTTCTTTGCACGCTGTTGCCTATTCTTGTGGGGTACGTTACGTCGTTGAGTAGGACTGCGTTGTACCTGTCTGCTGCATCTACGATTGCTGAGTCCGTCCCATACCCCCATATTGACTGAGTCCGTCCCATACCCCCATATTGTGTGGTGCGCATTAAAGTCCCCTAACACTATGGCGGCGTTATCTACTAGCAGTGGATTGAGTGCTTTGAAAACTTGCGCGCATTCCGCAGATGCGTCTTTCGGGCTGGAGTACATGTTGCATATGAACAGACTTCGTTGCTTTTTGCGTTTTTGGGAGAATTTCGGTGACTATGAGTTTAGTGGGTCCGTCCATCGAGACTGTGTGCTTTTTGACGGCCAAGTCTCGCCTGACGAACGTGCAAATGTTTTTCCCCGTTGTGCCTTGTTCCGTATCAAACCTGTCGTATCCGGGTATACTGCCGTTCGTATCCGTTTCTTGAAGTGCCAGTACATCGGGTGGTGGTTTGCTGTCCATCAGTATCATCTTGAGCGAGTTGATCTTGGTACCAAGACCACCCGCATTCCACTGCCATATCTTGAGTCCGCCTCTACCTTCCATTTTGGGCGTGTGACGCTGGCGGTATCAGTCCTATGTGCGTCTCAATCTTGCGGAATCTTTCCTCGCACGAGTTCTGTAGAGCGATCACAGTGTTCTTTAGAGCGCTCACGTTGTTCTGCAGAGTGCTCACACTGTCGTTCAGAGCGGACATTCCCTTGATCACGTCTCGCATCATTGCGTACAATTCGTCCGTCCTCTTGCGTGTGTTCGAGCCATCCTCTGCATCCGTGCATACCGACACGTCCGTGCTTTCGGAGTCGGCTCTGCTTCTTCGTTTCTTGGCAACACGTACTTCGGATTGTGCGTCTTCGGTTTCCATTTGCATCACTGGTGCCGCCTTCTTTCTCGGGTCCCGTGTCACTGGCTGCGTCTGCATTTCAGATGGTCCGGCTTCTTGTCGCTGCGGGGTCATGGCTTCTTGAAGCTTTTGTCGAAGTTCCTGGATCTCCCTCTCCGCAGCAAGCTTTTCCCTCTTTAGAGTTTGATACTCTATGCGCATGGCGTCGAATTTCCTTTCCATCTCCTTGCGGAGCTTATCCAATTCCGTTTCCTTCTTGTCAGTTTCTTGCTTTCGGAGTGCTTGCGCATATCCCTCCTTGGGTTTGGGCGCAGTTTCTCCCATGGGTTCTTGGCCTGGCAGAGTTGCAGTGAAGTCTGTCTTCTTCGGTAAGGTTCCTTCTCTCGCTTCCCGTGGCGTCTGAAATTCTACGTATCTTTGCTTGCATTCCCTGCAGGCAGTGTAATGCTGACCATCACATATGAGGCAGCGAGGAGTGCACGTGTATTCCGTTCTTACACCTCTGACTCTTGGCGGGATTGGACGAGTGCGGTCGTGTTTTTGGGCACTCCGTGTTTTCGACGTGGAAGACGCCTTGGCACGGACGGACTGCTGGGCCAGAATATCCTCTGAGCTTCTGGGTGAGAAACGCATGTCTCTTTGTAATATTCGGAGACGACAGGAAAGTTTATCGATTGATTTATATCGCACAAACGAGTGAAGAAACCGGTGGGAGCTAGGCCTAACGCTCAGGCTGAACGCGGCCATGCAGCCGCAACAGGATGAGGATATGGCTAGAGACGAAGATCGTTCTAGAATGCACGACGAGAATATTCGCCGGTATCTTGAGGACCTAGCGAAGCAAAAAAAGGAAGAAGTGGATGCGGACAACGCAGCTAAAGCGGCGGGATGGCAAACTGCCAGGAGTCGAAAGTACAACCGCAAGCTGAAGAAGGAGTTCACCGCGGCGGCTAAAAAGGATAGCCGAACTCACATGATCATTCTGAGGGTACGTGAACTAAACGTCAACGGCCTCTCGAGAGGACATCTTTTAGGCGAAATCGCTAAAGCTGCAGGAGTGCAGGTTGCGGAAGCTTTCGCGGAGGACAGCCTATATATAAACAGCGCAAGCAACACAATCTCCATTCGCACGGACAACTCTGAGCGAGCAGGCAGGTACGTCGAGATCAAGGAGATCATAAGCAACAACAAGAAGATAGAAGTCCATGGACATGGAGCCATCCCGGGCGAATTTCAGCGAATAGTACTGACTAACGTGTACTACCCGTCGGACGTAGTCGACGAAGTCGAACTGTTGAATCATATGGTCAACTGCAACAAGCACACGGTGATCGTAGACGTGAAACGGATGGGAAGGTCGATCCTGATTACCTTGGGAACAAGCAAGCTCCCCGCGTACATTAAGTTCTTCGGAGGAGTGTTCCCCTTCCACATCTACCGAGAAACCAAGAGAGCATGCATGAAATGCTGGAGATTAGGACACAGAATGGACGTATGCCCCGAGAAGGACAACGGAAGGTGCCCCAATTGTGGGGAATTTCACGAACACTCCGGGCTAAAATGGGAGACGGAAGTAGAAAGCGATCCTGGCGGTGTGGAGTGGACAACTCGCCACTTTCCCCGGAAATGAATCAAGTGGGTCTGACTCACTAGAGAAATTGATAGTCTATGAAATATTCCCGTTTTTTGACGGAGCGTAGGCAGCATAAAATCGTGATATTGGACCTCTTGGTATTTTGATGTCAAAATGCAGTGTGTTGTATAGAGTCAGTATTTGTATCGCGATTTTTTTACAATCTAGATAATTATTAACCTTTTCTGAGCTTGTTGATTTATTTGTTTTATTCCTACCGAAACATGTCTTATTGGATGCCCTTGGCTCCAAGTGACCATAATTGGCAATAGGCATCAATTTTTTATGAGACCGACTTGAAATGACTCCAAGTGACTAGAAGGGATTATTATTGATAATCATGTGATTTTTTGTGTGCTTACTCGTATGAACAGCTTCAAGTAGCTTTTGTTGGCTATTAGCATCTTCTTTGACCAGATTGACCTGAAAATGGCTGCCAATAGCTATTGATGAGATAATTGAGAATTACCCATTTCGGCGTTGTTGAATGCACATGGTTTCAACTGGCTATTATTGGCTATCAGTCTCCACTTTTATATATATTTGATAGATATGGCAACAAATATAAATGAGTAATGAAAACTGAGCTATTTCTGTTCATAAACTGGAATGACTTCAGGTGGCTATTGTTGGCGATTAGAATATATTTCTGACCAGATTGGCTCAATGCCTACTAATGGCTGTTAGTCAGTATAATAGCAAGTATCTGCTGTCTGAGTGTTTATGAATGAGAATGGCTTCAAGTGGCTATTATTGGCTATAAGCACCTATTTTCGAACAGATTGGCTGCAAATGGCTACAAACCGCTATTAGTAGATAACTATTGCTTGAGCTATTTTTTTATTTACGAAATGGAATGGCTTGTAATGGATAATGTTGGCTATTTGAAATTATTTTTGACCAGATTGAATTGAAATGGCTGCTGATGGATATTGATGAGATAATTAAACAATTATGCGCTATTTCAGTATTTAAAAATGAGTATGGCTTCAAGCGGCTATTATTGGCTTATGCATCAAATTTCAGATAAATTTGATTGAAATGGCTATAAATGGCTATTAGTGACTAATGTTGATATTTATGGGTGTTTTAGTGTTTACTAACTGGAATGACTTTAAGGGGCTATTGTTGGCTATTAGCATATATTTCTGACCAGATTGGCTTCAAATGGCTGGCAATGGCTATTTGTAAGTATAATTGACAATTATGGGCTATTTCAGTGTTTATGGATGAAAATGGCCACAACTGGCTATTACTGGCTATAAACATTTATTTTTATTGCAATGGCTTAATTTGGCTACAAATGGCTATTAATGACTACTGTTGATAGTTATGAGTGATTTTTGTGTTCACCAACTGGACTGGCTTTAAGTGGCTATAGTTGGCTTTTATCATCTATTTCTGACCAGATTGGCTTCAAATGGCTAGCAATGGCTATTAGTGAGTATAAGTGACAATTATGTGCTATTTCAGTATTTTTAAATGAAACTGGCTACAAGTGGCTATTACTGGCTATATGCATTTAAATTGGCTTAAAATTGCTACAAATGGCTTGTAGTGACTAGTGGTGATATTTATAAGCAGGTTTAATGTTTACTAACTGGAATGGCTTTTATTGGCTATTGTTGACTATTGGCATCTATTTCTGGCCAGATTTGCCTAAAATGGCTTGCAATGGCTATTAGTAAGTATAATTGACAATTCTGTGGTATTTCACTCTTTATGGACGAAACTGACTTCAAGTGGCTATTATTGACTATAAGCATTTATTCTTTATCGAATAGGCTTGAAATAGCTACAAATGGCTATTAGTGGCTAGTCTTGATAGTTTTGAGCAATTTTAGTGCTTACTAACTGGACTTGCTTTTAGTAGCTGTTGTTGTCTATTATCATTCATTTTAACCAGATTGGCTTCAATGGGCTTGCAATGGCTATAGCAAGTAATTGTGGTATAAAGTATAATTGTGGATATTCATGAATAGCCATTCATAGCCATTCAATGGATATTCATAAATAGCCATGCATAGCCATTCAATAGATATTCACGAGTAGCCATTCATAGCCATTTGAAGCCATTCTGAAAAAAATAGATGGAAATAGCCAAAACTAGCCACATGAAGCCATTTCAGTTTGTAGACAAAGAAATAGCTGCTAATTATGAATACTCGTCACTTTAAGCCATTTGTAGCCAATTCAAGCCACCGAGGTCGGGAACAGATGATTATAGCCAATAATAGCCGATCCAAGCAACCAAGTCAAGAATAGATGCATATAGCCAATAATATCCAGTTGAAGTCATTCAAATCTATACACACTCCAACTGCATAAATTGTAAATAATAGTTGCTGATAGCCATGTATAGCCATTTCAAGCCAATCTAGTAAAAATAGATACTAATAGCCAATAGCCATTTGAAGTCATTTTCCATCATACTCACTGAAATAGCGAGAATTGTCAACTACATTCATGAATAGCCATTTGAAGCCATTTGAAGCCAGTCTGGTAAAAAATAGATGGTAATAGCCAAAACTAGCCGCATGAAGCCATTTTGAGTTCGTAGACAAAGAAATAGCTGCTAATTATAAATCCTAGTCACTTTAAGCCATTTGTAGCCGATTCAAGCCGCCCAGGTTAGGAACAGATGACTATAGCCAATAATAGCCAATCCAAGCCAACCAAGTCAAGAATAGATGCCTATAGCCAATAATATCCAGTTGAAGTCATTCGAATCTATGTATACTCCAATTGCATAAATTGTAAATAATAGTTGCTGATAACCATGTATAGCCATAGCCATCTTAAGTCAATCTAACAGAAAAGCATGCTAATAGCCAATAACAGCCATTTGAAGTCATTTTCAGTCATAATCTGTGAAATAACATAGAATTGTCAACTATATCCACGAATAGCCATTCATAGCCATTTGAAGCCAGTCTGCTAAAAAATAGATGGTAATAGCCAAAACTAGCCACATGAAGCCATTTTGAGCTCGTAGACAAAGAAATAGCTGCTAATTATAAATCCTAGTCACTTTAAGCCATTTGTAGCCGATTCAAGCCGCCCAGGTTAGGAACAGATGACTATAGCCAATAATAGCCAATCCAAGCCAACCAAGTAAAGAATAGATGCCTATAGCCAATAATATCCAGTTGAAGTCATTCGAATCTATATATACTCCAATTGCATAAATTGTAAATAATAGTTGCTGATAACCATGTATAGCCATCTTAAGCCAATCTAACAAAAAAGCATGCTAATAGCCAATAACAGCCATTTGAAGTCATTTTCAGTCAATCTCTGAAATAGCATAGAATTGTCAACTATATCCACGAATAGCCATTCATAGCCATTTGAAGCCAGTCTGGTAAAAAATATATGGTAATAGCCAAAACTAGCCACATGAAGCCATTTCAGCTTGTAGACAAAGAAATAGCCGCTAATTATAAATACTAGTCACTTTTAGCCATTTATAGCCAATTCAAGCCACCCAAGTCAGGAACAGATGATTATAGCCAATAATAGCCAATCCAAGCCAACCAGGTCAAGAATAGATGCTTATAGCCAATACTATCCAGTTGAAGTCATTCAAATCTATACACACTCCGAGTGCATAAATTGCCAATAATAGTCACTGATAGACATGTATAGCCATTTCAAGCCGATTTGGCCAAGAACTGCCCATAGCCAATAATAGGAGACACTTGAATCCATTCATAGTCAAAACATCATGAATACTGTCACTAAATGTCACCAATGTTCATTCTGAAGCAATTTAAGGTGATATTGTTAAGATGATATGCAATTGGGGCTAACAATAGTCACTTGAAGCCATTTTCATTCATAACTATAGAATTGCAGAATATAGCGACCAATAAGCACTAATAGCCATTTTTTTGGCAATTCGAGCCAACCAGGTCAATAACAGATTCCTATAGCCAATAACAGCCATTGGAAGCCAACTCAGCCTGCATAAAATCAAATAAGTCGAAATAGTGACTGATCATCACTGATAGTCACTAGAAGTCATTTACACTCCAAATCCGCCATATAATTTATAAACATGATAATATAGCCAATAATAGCCGTATGAAGCCAAATCAGTCTGCACACAATCGGGCAAGTCGAAATAGTGATTAATAGCCATTGAAAGTCTCTAGAATTCATTTAGACCCCGAATCTGCCATATAATTTATAAACATGATCACATAGCCAATAATAGCCATATGAAGCCAGCTCAGTCTGCACACAATCAAATAACTCAAAATAGTGGCCAAAAGACATTAAAAGTAACTAGAAGTCATTTGAACTACACATCTATCATGTCAAATTTTGATCAAAAAGCCAAAATTAACCATTGAAAGCCAACTCAGTCCGCGCGCATTCAAATAACTTAAAATAGTTACAAATAGTCATTGATTTTGTCAATAAAAGTCATTTGGAACCGAAATCCGCCATATAGTTCGGAAATAAAATCAAATACCAAATAATAGTCATTCAAATCCCCCCAATCTGAGACATAACATTACAAATGTCACGAAATGGTGACTAATGGTCATTAAAGTCTATCACAAATGGAACTACCTAATAAACAGCCGTTCAAATAGCTCAGAAATATAATCCAATAGTAATTGCAGTCAATAGAGGCTAACCAGGCCCCCAAAACGACAGGTAAAGAGCCAGTCACTGGAGCTAGTAACAGCCATAGCCTTTAGACTGGTCCATAAACTGTCAATTTACAAGAAAGTCGCTAATTGCCAGTAGGTCATTTGTACCAGGTGTAATACATAGGTCTATATAATCTAAATACCTAGTGCTAATATGAAGCGCACCTCATTATCAGAAATACCGTGTATCAGCTCTTGCTCAATTGAAATCGGCCACACCGATTTTCCATATATTCACTTTTCCTGATAGTGTGAAGAGAAGAAATGGTGTAGTGAATGACTGTTTTCCTTTTAATTTCGAGCTCATAGTTTACCATCCCACACCGAGAGATGGCAGCACTTCTGTGTCTCCCGACAACCCCATGTATTTTGGCTCGAGTTTCCAGTATTGGTAGTCAATGGTATTTGGTTCCTCCGTCGCATGCATCTCAATATGGCGGCCCCGAATCGAGCAAATCGAGCCCAATAAGGCTTAACGAGGACGCTACGTCTCTTGTACGGGACCAGAGCAGCAGCAAATGAAAGCGTAACACGAGCTTTCCGCAAACTGTGTTTATTTCCGAAGCCAGATTCCCCCCACAGGTACAGAAACCTGCGTTTCCAAAGCAGTTACTCAGTCTTCTCGTCGACAGCACTGCGACGTTAAACGGAGACAACCGATACCCAGTTACTTCGCGCACTTTGCGTCTTACCTTTGGACTTTGGTGTTCCTCGAGTCACAATTCCTTCGTCAACCGCACATCACGGAGAAGGGCAAACTCACTCCGCGAAACCAAAAGCCGCTCTCGAAAGAACGAACTCGAAGCCGCTGTTATCGCGTAGCGTGAAAGGAGGTTAAATCGCTAGCCACCAGATGACGGGGTCAAACAGAGTAATTGGAAGTAGCTAGGCTAGGTGGCGCTAGGTACCGCCCAATTCATGTTCTACAAAAAATTACCCTCTACTATACACACATGACACCCCTACACTTATTACAAGCATCAGGTGAACATACACTAAGCACATGCACTGCACACACAAATATCAATACAACGGAATACCACACTAACCCGAACACTACACCCGTGCTCTGCGTTTCCGTCTTTTATACTGGTCGTTTTGAACGTGCGGAACTTTTCGGTGACTCCCTAAGCAATAAAAAATATTCCCAGCATGTTCATTTTTTCTCTGCAATGTCATACCTCTGAAAGTATTTTGAATGGCTCAGGGGTTGAATCTCTTATTAAAAAGTAAACGCTCAATCATGTCGTAATTATTTGAAAGCCAATAAATCAAGCCGCTCCAATGCGGTTCGAAGCCATGAGTTTGTTTCCCCACACGGCATGTCGTAGCTTGTATTTCTATTTGTTTTTCTATTTGTGCTGTTCGCGCAAAGCTGCAATTGCCGTTTGAATTAGTCTCTGTAGAGCGGATATTCAGTCAGCTGGAAGTGATGCTTCACGGACTGAGAAACTGCTTTTCGATCAACTTGATTGCAGTCAAAGCCGCGACTTGCGGCAGGTTTAAGTGTACGGAACTACGCCGTGGCGAGCCCGAAAACTTCTAGCGCTCATCCCAGCGCGCCACGGAGGCAGTTTCTCCAGCAACCGTAGTATAATTAAACAGCAAAATAAAGGGTAGCTTTTTTTTTCGATGGGTCCATATCAGAAGAGCGAATGACATTTTAGCGAAAGGCGACATTTGAGCGAATGGTCGTTTTAGCGAATAACGGGGGCCCGCGTTAACCCATCCGTCGCGCTGCGCTTTACGCCGCTTCGCGGCGACAGTCTACGGCAACTCATTACAAAAATATGAACTCACTTGGCCCATCCGAAAACGCCGCTTTGCGGCGTCTGACTATTCGCTAAAGTGTCGTTCGATGAAACGTGGGCGTTCGCTAAAACGTCATTCGATCAAGTGAGTGCCTCCCGTACGGGGTCAGCTTCTATACTGTTCAGACCAGCGTTCCAATATGACTATCCGCACGTTGATCGATTGCACGTAATCCCTCAAGTGGTATTAAACTTTTTTAATGTAAAGCGGGATGTCAACCTGCGACACCCCGCTCCCTCCGATCACAACCCGACCAGCGGCATCAATGCCCAACAGTTTACGATCTCATCTTCTTGTTACACCACTGATACGCGAACACACGGTCACATCGGCGATAATTCCAGTCTTCTGTTCACAACCCACGACACTGTCATTACGATGTTGCTGCTATGCTGCTGACACGCACAAACACAAAACCACGTTGAACGCCGGTTGCACTTGGCATCGGAAAACAGAACCGAACTCAGGGGGGAAGGCACCCAGGCAGCCGGCAGCAAAACCTGCCTGTCTTGGACGCAGTTCCTGCGGTTTCCATAACGTCGAAAACGTCGACACAGTTCCGCGTGGTTTCGCTGCAGCTGCAGCGAAACCACGCGGTTTCGCTGCAGCTGCAGCTGCTGCAGTGCTGCAGCAGCTGCAGTTCCGTCAGTTCCGTGCCGCGCGAGTCCGCGAGTCACGCAATCCGGAGACGGCCATCCCCCAGTGTACGTGGTAGGGGTGTCGCGAACTCTTGCCGAACCAGATTTTTTGGTCGAACTTTCGGGGTTCGACTGGGTCGAACCGGTTCGACGAACCTTCGAACTTTTCACAAGATTCGACCGGTTCGACTTTGTGGACAGTGTGGCCAGACCTTGATACAAGCATGTCTAGGTTTGGAGAATTTCTTTTTTTATGCAAAGGGTTATTTTATTGTGTGAACAGCTGCAATTAAAAGAAACTAATTCTATTCACTGAAGAAGTTCATAACTTAAATTTTAGTACTGTATTGACTGAAATAGCTGATCAGCGCTGCACTTAATTCACCTCTTAGCCATTACCATCCAATCCGAAGCCAACTGGCCAGCCTCTCGCGCATGCGCACACGAGTCGAACCTCAATACAAGGTTCGTCGAACTTTCCCCTAAACGTTCGAAAAAGTCGAACCTGGTCGAACTCGAACCGCGGCCGGTTCGCGACACCCCTAGTACGTGGCGCTGCTGGCACTGCTCCGGAGCTTCGCTGTTTCTAGCGGCTTTGTTTGCTCGTTTGATAAAATTAGTGATAAAAATGTAAATGCAACCGAAATGTTCTGGACGTTTAAACTGGAAGACGGAATTACAGGCGGCCTTCGCTGCTGCTGAAGCTCAATCAACTCAACAGCTATTTATTAAACAACGTGCGCGACCTGCTCGAAAAACGAAACCGAAAGAAGATGAGTCGGGAGGGCGAAAGCTTTCTCCCGTCTGCCTGGAGAAGGTAGGTAGGTAGTAAACGTTTATTGGAAGAAACATTCGAACGGTCGCCCTAGGCGTGGTTCGAGGAGGGAACAGGTTCTGGGGAAGTCTTTGACGTGAAGGAACGGCCGTGCTCAGAACGTCGACTCCAGGCCCGTGTTTTCTACGATTCTGGCCGAGTCTCCCTCAGGCCGGGCCCAGCCTTCCAGGTTGGACGGCCTCGATGCAGGTGGAAGAAGACTAAGCGCTTTCTTTCTTTCGTTGGTGAAGTGACCGCACTCCCACACGAGGTGGTGCAGGTTTGCACTTAGGGTTTCTTTGCAGTAGGGACAGATCTCAGGCTGTTCCAGTGAATGTTGGCGTTGCATCTGTTGCGGCTGTGGCGGGGAGGCCGGCGGACTGGCTGTCGACACCGGCGGTCTGTTTCTGCCGATCTTGCCAGCACTCAGTTCCGGGTCCCTATCATTTCGTCGAAACTCGTTTCGTGGATTTACGTTTCGCGGACAACTTTTCGTGGACACACGTTTCATGGACACACGTTTCGTCGACAGTGTGACGTTTCGTCGACAATCGTTTCGTCGACAGCACCACCGTAAAACGTTTCGTCGACAAACTTTTTTTTTTTTTTTGCGGTTCCGAAAGGAATGCTGGAACCTTAAGGTACATGCGCTTGTAACGGATGAAAACGGCGATGCCTAGCGCAGTTGCTCTCCAAGGTGAGCAACTGCGCTGTCCTCTCGCTCTCATCCGTGTCAGATGGAAAAGCAAGAGCGGACTTCGCGCGCGGCCTATTGGGATATTTGCAAGTTCCGATGCCCGGAAGTGCTCTTTTTAGCCTCGACCGCAAGGAGCTAAAGCGAACAATAATCTCGAACCCAGACGCTCACGGGGAGGGGGGGCTGCGTCGGCCTGCGCCGCCAGCTCCCGTTGAGGGCTTCTTCGCTGGTGTGCCGACAGCCGTTTCGCCGGCATCGGTCCTGTTTACCGCGGTATGTGAGTATAGTGCCCGTAATGTGAGAGCCGTGTGTCCATACGCCACTTTGCCGTTGTTGGTTTTCGTCTAGCCGAGCCAGAAAACATCTCGCGACGAGTTGACCGCGCCGCGAGTGACGAAGAAGAAGCAAACATGGCGACGGTTTGTGCGATTGCTTTGGTGGCTCCGGTGTTGAGTGTCTTCAACGTCCTCGTGAGAAGGTTCCCCTGCCCTTCGAAGTTATTGCAAGCACCACGAAAGATATGGAATCATCGTCTCAACTACAAATAAGCAGGCCTTCACGAGCAACAACTGTGCCGAGCAGGCGCTCGGCACATTTGTGTCAGGCTCACGCAGCCAGCGGCACAGTTGTGTTGGTTGTGTCGTCAGATGTTCAACAACGCCGAGGTATTTTCATTTATCATTTGGAATGGCTTCAAGAGTGGGAAATTAATCTATTTCGCGGATTGTTAACGCCGAGGCGAGTGCCCTCCGTTGCAGTGCCGTCGTCGCGCAAAGTGCAGAGAAAACCGGGTGGCGATGGCGGCGGTGCTCTTTGATCTTGCGCCGTCGGGTTCATGAAGTCCGGAGTAAACGTACGTACGTGCGTCTGCTGGATCGGTGTTTTGGACTTCCTCAAAACTCTTTCTCACGCGCATTTTCCTTGTGAAGCTTTGTAGCTCATTACACCTCATCGTCGACTGCGTTCATTTGACTACGACGGACGAGCCTGCGTGATGTGAATTTCACTGCCTAAGA